CTATAAATACTCAACTCCCAAACAAACTGCACCAGAGCATAGAGTGCTCCTGTCCTCTGAAGATGCCGGCCACAGAGACTGATGAAACGTTAGGAAGAACAACCTTCAGAACACAGCCAAAGAGCCCGAAAAACCCACAAACATTAGATCCTCGCCTTGAAAGCCTTTGCGAATACGTAGTGAACAAAGTTTATACGACAAATTAAATGGGAAGGGGAAAGGGAAATAAAGAAGAAATTGAATACTCAACAGAAGATTTCCAAATTGCTGCCACTCTGGTGGTGGAGAAAGAGAAACTGGGGGGTTAGGGCTGAGCGTGGTTATATATGCTGCCAGGAGGGTGGGCAAGGTTACCATCAAAAGGCTGTTACTCAGCTTGGGAGGGTTCCCAACAGGATCTGCATAGACACAGGTTTATGTTTGTTATGTAATAATGGTTCATGCATATTAATGTCGCTGAGAGGCAGAACCAGGAGAGATGCTATAAGAGGTGGAGCCTGAGTCAATCAAGGGGGAGTAGAGAAAAGTCAGCAAGAGTAAGAGTCAGAGAGAGTAATAGAATGTGTAGTTTGGGAAATTCTGAGGTGTGATTAGTTACTGAAGATATTCATGAATCAACCTCTGCAATCAATAAACCAAAGTTTTATTTAAAGGAACTTCAAGTGTGAACCTGAATCTTTCTGAGGTAATGGTGGTTAGGGATCACCTGTGGCAGCAGTGAAAAGAGAAGAGTGTTTGCCCTCGTGTGCTCTGAGGCTTGAAGGTCATGCAAAAGGGCACGAGGGTGAACGCCACATTTGGTTACCAGCGGTGGGATATGAAGGAATCCAGTGAAGCCTGAGTTTGGACTCAAGAATTCCAGTCAAGCCTGAGTTTTAAAAGAATTTTTCTTGAGTCAAGGGGACCTTTAAACATAGGTCTGTGGCAAAGAGGTTGGTTCCTCATTAGAGCTATTGGGAAAAGCTTAGTGGTGGGGGCTTCTGAACCCAGATCTGGGGGAGGGGGTCTGAGATAGGGAACAACTCTGAAAGGAAGTTCTTGTGTTTTACCTCAGGATCTGAGGAGCAGAAAGCTAGCTTAAGGCTCAAAGCTCTAAGAGTAGAGAGCGCTTGTGAGAAAGCAGAAGCAAAGGGTCAGAGCAGATCTTAGTGAAGAAAGGAGAAAGCCATCCCAGAAGTAAATATACCACTCAAATGTTCCAAAAGGGGGAATCCTGAGGCTGAGGTTTTACCTCAAGAAATGGAGGGAAATAGTGACCAAAGTTTACCTCACAAAATTGTTATATTGAATGATGTTACCCCTAGAACTGTTAAATGTTATGTAAGCTATGCAACTGTGCCTGTTTGTTTAGGAGGAAAAACTTGTTTCCCCTCCCCAACAAACATATTTAAGGGGGGGAGGTCTGTAACGTTCTCTATTTACTAGGTCTATGTAATGGTTATGTAATGGTTTATGTTTGTTATGTAATAATGGTTCATACATATTAATGTCGCTCAGAGGCGGAACCGGGAGATATGCTATATGAGGCGGAGCCTGCGTCAATCAAGGGGTAGTAGAGAAAAGTCAGCAAGAGTAAGAGTCAGAGAGAGTAATAGAATGTAGTTTGGGAAATTCTGAGGTGTGATTAGTTACTGAAGATATTCATGAATCAATCTCTGTAATCAATAAACCAAAGTTTTATTGAAAGGAATGGTGATGGAGAAAGAGAAACTGGGGGGGTTAGGGCTGAGCGTGGTTATATATGCTGCCAGGAGGGTGGGCAAGGTTATCACAAAAAGGCTATTACTCAGGTTAGGAGGGTTCCCAACAGGATCTGCACAGACACAGATAATCAATCTGTCTGATTCAGAAAGGAGAAAGGGAAAGCAAAAAGCAAAGCGTGCTGTTTATATACCGCCCCATAGTGCTTCAAGCACACTCTGGGCGGTTTACAATTTAATTATGCAGGCTACACATTGCCCCCCCCCAGCGAGCTGCGTACTCATTTTACCGACCTCGGAAGGATAGAAGGCTGAGTCAAACTTGAGCAGGCTACCTGGGATTTGAACCCCAGGTCGTAAGCACAGTTTTAGCTGCAATACAGCGGTTTAACCACTGCGCCACGAGGCTGGAATGAGATATCAGGTAGCAATGCCAGATGTGCCTGGACAGTCCATACTAAGACAACCCAGTACATCCCAATACACCCAGTAACACACCCTTTCCATTTGTGGATGCAAGTACTGGGCTCATCTGTTCTAATTCATTATAAAAAAAAGCCCAGAATGACCGATCCTCATGGGCAAGGACATGGGACCTCTCCATAACCCTTTTACCTTGTCCAAATAAATGATGAGGTTCCCTCTGTCAGTCATAACGTTGTCAACTTCAAACTTGGAGATGTATCTGTTGACTCCCTCAGAAAGCTAAAGAATTGAAAGGAAATAAAAAATAAAGTTGTCTTTACATTTCAGCTGCATTAAAGTTCAAAGCCACTTGGAGGTACCTACTCAGAATATGCTTCAGATAGAAATTTTATAATGTTAGATGTATTTGTCAGAGGAATTTTAAACATCACAGTTTTCAACAAAATTCTTATTAAGCTTTGAGTAAACATTTACATGAAGACTGGTAATGAACCGGTCCAAGTGATGAATTAATTCTGAATGGTAAGACAACATTATATAAATCCCAGTGATTCTGTGAGTATACTCTAAATGAAACTAGCAAGCGGTTTTAGGCCAATAATTTAGCTTTAACCTATGAAATTTAATCTGTAAGATAAAACAATGAAGTGTAATTTTGGCAGCCATTTCTAGAATCCAGCATTACCTACCCTCTTAAGGTCATCATTATCAGGGGCAAAACCAGCAAGCATGGAAACATCAATGATTGTCATTGTGGCATCAACCTCACCAAGATACCTAAAATCAGAGACAAAGAGAAAAAGTGGGCCAAAACAATAGAACAGAAATGGATTCAGCTTTAGTTTTCTCAGTTTGGTTCAGCATGTTTTCAAAGCCATTCATCTTCAAAGGTGAAATATGAGATCTAGGATGTTATCAACAAATTGTATCATTACAACATTTGATCCTAATCCTCAGAGCAATTCTCTATATACTTAAAATACAGAGGTGGGGCTTCATCGCAACAAGATTGGTCGGGTTTCAGGAGGCTCCTGAAACTAATTTAGAGTCTATACAACATTACACTTGATCTTAGCCAAGAGGCAAATCAGAGTTAAACTACAGTATCTCAAACATATAAAAGCAATAAATTTTTTGTGGAAATATTTCGTTAGTAGAGATACTCTTTCTGGCTAAGAATGGGACGGTTTGGAGGAAGGGTTAAAGGCTTATCATCCTGGACTTCATCCTTTCTACCTCATTTGGGTAACATAACATTGTTTTTGATACTCATCCCTAGTAAGTGACATTTCATAATGTTGTGTTTTGTAATATTACCCATTGGATGTAGTTGATTATTTGTTTTTAACTTCTCTAGTTTAATATTTCTTCAGACTAAATTTAAGATTATGTTTTTGGAGATTCCTGGATGTAATCTGTCAGAGAAAGTGACTAGACCTGTATCTGGCCAGAACAGTCCCCACCCCTTCATCTGAGGCTTGGCTGAGAGAAACAGAAAGAACCTTGCTTCTATTGTGCCAATAAAACCTGCTCCTACAAAACAATACAAAACTATAAACTACTGATTGATTTAAATCTGTGAAGCAGCCAGAAACAGTCTTGAGAAAAGCCTTCCTACTGTCAACCTTCTGCCCCAAGCTACTTCCGTATTATGAATAACTATTGTGGTCACTAACTGCTGGAAAGAAATCCAGATAATGTCCCCAATTATGGGACAACAAGACATCCTCAAGAATATTCAAAACATTATACTTAATGGACTGCATGTGAGGCCCCCAAACAGGAGGCTTATGTAGGAGTGCCATCGCTCCCGTCGCGGACCCAAAACACCCAAACCTCTCCCCCACCTTCTCTACCCCGTCGTGAGGATAAACAGGTGGACGCACACTAGTTGGGGGATTTACCGGAAGGCCGAGGGCCAAAGGATGTAGGAGTGGACACCAGCAACCTGTTGCAAACCTTGAAGGGGTTAACCCTGTCACCAAAACCGGGGAAAGATTTGGCGGGAAAGAAGAGGGAGGAGATAGAGGTGGCGGTCGGGGATATAAAGGGGAAATGGGAAGAGATCCCAGGAGATTGGGAATGGATCTGGGTGGAGGATCCCTGGACGGGGAAATGGGAGCAGGTGAAGGTGAAGGAGGCAGAGAGGAGAAGGAGACAAGGTCTAAAACCCCGGCTATCATACTGGGGGGAAACGGAGGCGAAGGAGTGACGGCGTAAGTTAAGGGAGGAGAGGGAAGCTGTGGCTAGAGAAATTGAAAGAAAGCAAGCATGGCATCTGGCAGAGTTACAGAAGATGGGGGTTTACCCGGGCCATGGCTGACAGACGCCGGAGAGGAGTCGTCTGTATGGGGATGGAGTGGCGATGAGGAGACCCTTCCCTTGATCATTCCCGATGAAGGAATCACTGAAGGTCAAGTGCCAGTGAAAGGTGTAACTGGACCTTGGACTATGGAGGACAGTAACCCATTTGTGGGAAGTTTGTGGACATCCCTGCGTCCAGTTTTGGGGACGCAAGAAACGTTGAAAGCAGTTACCCATAACGTTCCTGTTGATGTTGAAGTACAAATAAACACTGAACCAGTTGGACAGTTTAATCCATCTCACTCTTTATTGAAAGTGACTGACCCCCATAACAACGAACCCTCACATATTGGTGCCCAATGCGGCGGGCAGTCACAATGGCAATAGGAGACGGACACGTGGATGAGACAAATAACTGAAGGCCAGGAGATGTTGCTGAAGCAGTTGGCAGACCAGCAACAGATGATCATAGAACAACTACAGAAGACACAACTGGGGATACCCACAACCTTGCCCGTACCAGAGGTAAGATCACCCATCGCATCAATACCCCCTATAAAGTTACAAAAGATGGGACCCCAGGACAACCCCACAGCATTCCTAAACACGTTTGAGCAGGTGGCAACGTCGGCACAATGGCCGAAGGAACAGTGGGCATTGATCGTGACCCCATACTTAATGGGGTTACCTCAAGAAATCGTAGACACACTGGACCCCGAGGATGCGGGAGACTACAAAAAGGTCAAAACAGCAATACTGAACACCCTTAATTTAAATGAAGAAGCATACAAGCGTAGGTTTAGAGCGTTGCGGTTAAAACCAGGTTTACACCCGAGAACACTAGCCCAAAAGATGAGAGTAAATGCCACCAGATGGGTACAGCCCAAGGGAAAGACAGCAGAGCAAGTATTAGAACTGGTCATAATGGAACAGTTGATATCTACGTTAAGTTCAGGGCCACGGAACTGGGTTATGAAGCACAAACCCTCCAACATAGAGGGCGCTGTGACGCTGCTAGAAGACTATCTAGGAGCAGAAGAACCCTGGTTACCGCACCCTGCAGCTATGGGAGAGAAACCCCGTTTCAGGGAAAAGATAGTGGAGACCACGAACGCAGGAGCTTCATGTGGCAGCCCTGGAGCAATCCGAAAAAACAAGGTCCGGACCGGATTGAGTTCGTAAACCCGACCGGCACGAGGATACCGCATCCTACCATCACTACAGACCCGGCCAAAAGCAAGTTGGCACCCACGTGGAACCCGGGGAGAGAGAAAATGGCAGCTTGCTTTGGCTGCGGCCAGTTTAGCCACATTAAGAAATTCTGCCCGACAAAGGAGTGTGCGTGGACCAACATATACGCGAACATGGCCAAGGTGGGTGCAAGTAACCACCCAGGGTGGGTTGTGACCGCGAGGGTAAATGGACAAAAGAAGCAGGCCCTCATAGACACCGGGTGTACCCGTACCTTGGTCAAAGAAATGGAAGGTCATCGTCTCCCAGAGACAGTAATAATAAAATGCATTCATGGGGACTCCAAGGAATACGAAACGGCCAAAGCGGACATAGTTATAGGAGACCAAAAAGCTGAGCTAGCAGTCGGGATCGTCCCAGGCCTGTCCAGGGAGATGCTGCTGGGTAGAGACTGGCCAGGCCTGGAGGACCTGGCCCATAGGGTGGAAGACGGTTTTGCGGGAGAGAGAGACAACTGGGAAGGAGAAACTGAAGTGATGCAGCTTTCTAGAGAACAGCTGTGGAAACTACAGCAAGATGACCCCAGTTTGAAACAAGGGTTGCAGCTAGCGGTACCAGAGGGCGCACCCCAGAGAACGAAGAAGGGTTTGAGATACACAGGGGTTTACTGTACTATGTCTGCAAGAGAGAACAAAAGGAGGAACGCCTCCTAGTTGTTCCGGAGCACTTGAGGCCCTGGGTTATACACTGGGCTCATGACCTGCTGATAGCCGGCCACCTTGCTGCACAAAAGACTCTGGCGCGAGTCCGACAAAGGTTCTTTTGGCCCAAAATGGCTAAATAAGTCGAAGAGTATTGTAAGTCATACCCCGAGTGTCAACTAACCCAGCCTAAAGGGGGGGCAGGGGCAGAGCTGGTTCCTATGCCATTAGTGGACAGACCCTTTGATCATATAGCCATGGACATTGTAGGCCCGTTGACCAAGTCGGAGGGGGGGCACCAGTACATCCTGGTTATTATTGACTATGCCACCAGATACCCGGAAGCCATACCTCTGAGATCTACAACGGCGAAGGTGCTGGCGAAAGAACTGCTAGGGGTGTTCTCCAGAGTGGGATTTCCCAGGGAAGTACTAATGGACCAAGGGTCTAATTTCATGAGCTTGACCTTTAAACAAATGTGGGATCGCTTAGGGGTCAAACCACTGAGAACTTCCATATATCACCCCCAAGCCAACGGCTTTGTAGAAAGATTTAATCGCACGTTAAAGGGGACGTTAAGGAAAGTGGCTATGGAACAGCCAAGGAAATGGCATCTTTTTGTTAATCCATTAATGTTTGCAGTCAGAGAAGCCCCTCAGGTGTCGACGGGCTTCTCACTGTTTTAATTACTGTATAGGCGGCAGCCCAGGGGAATTTTGGATTTGGTGAAGGAAAAGTGGGAGGAGGGAGAAGATGCTTCACGGAACGCTCTGCAACAGATATTAGAGATGAGGAACAATCTGAAGGTGGTGTGGGAGGTGGCCCAGGACAACTTGGGGAAGGCACAGACGAGACAAAAGGAACATTATGATAAAAGGGTGAAACCACGTGAATTCGAGCCGGGGCAAAAGGTATTGGTGCTGTTACCCACCGATACCTCCAAATTCTTGTCCAAGTGGCATGTCAACAGCAGAAGGGCAGCAAATGGCAAAATTTACTATGAAAGGGAGAAGAATCGTGATGATTGGACACATGCTGTGGCAGATGAGGCAAAGGAGACAATATATGGAGTGGATGAAGCTCTTGAGAATAGATGTGTGGTCCATTAGATGGAAAATGAAAGACGACATGATAAGAGGGGCACAGAATATTGGTTGGAATATGGAGATAGAGTAGTGGAGATAAACTTTGTTAAATTTGGGAAGGTATTTTGTGGTGAAGGAATATATGATAAAATGAACACCAACTAATGGTTGTGGCAGTGATTTGGAGTAATGGATATGAAATGGCAGAATAATATTAAGCCTATAAAACTAGTAAGCTTAAAGATAAAAAGAAAGAGAAGGTCCAAGAAAATGGAAAATTAGTAATGATAAATATTATGGAAAATTGTTATAATGTTTTTTCTCTTTGTAAGATTTCCATCTTTAATACAATCGTATAAGCGGATGAAAGAATAATTTTCGCTCTCTGGAATTTTACCCTTCCACCCTCTTACCTGGCCTCCTATTTGTACCCCTATCCCTATAGGTGTATAATGCAAATAGGTTATCTGGCATCACATTTAAAAACCCTTCTGTGGGTCAAAATCCTGTGTGCCTCCTTCACTTTCACCCTTAGTTAGCATGCACATTGCAGATAAGGATCCCCTAAGCCAGGGGATCCTTATCTGCGGGTGGGGGACAGGTAGTCCTCCAGTTGTTTTTGAACTGCAGTCCTTCTGGCCCCAGACAGCATAGCTAATGATAAGAAGAGATGAGAGTTGCACTCCACCCTAGAGCAATGAGGGGAAACATGTGGACTTGAGAGCCACATGTTTCCCTTACCTAGTCTAGGTAGAATATATCTAAGCCTCTCTCCCTCTTTCTCTCTGTGTGTGTGTATGTGTGTGTGTGTAAACATGCGCAGTCGCACACACACAAGCATGAAGGTGATTGCTTATCAACTTCCAAGAAAAACTTTGCTCTTCAGTGTTTCTCTGAAAATAAGACAGGGTCTTACCGTATATGCCGACGTACAAGATGAGTTTTGGGGCTCCCAAAACATGCCTCCAAGTGGGGGCCCCGTCTTGTACGCCGGGTGCCAGGAAGGAGCTGCTGCCGCTGCCGAGTGAGTGATGCGGGGCGAGCTGGCTGGGGAGGAAGGGAGGCGGGCGGATAGGCAGTCAGTTGGGAGGGAGGGAGGAAAGCACAGCCTGCCATGCTCTCCTGCTGCCCCACGCCGCTGATCCAGCCAGGGAGGAAGGGAGGCAGGCGGGTAGACAGTCAGTTGGGATGGAGGAAAGCACAGCCTGCCATGCTCGCCCGCTGCCCCATGCCGCTGATACAGCGGCGCGCACGCTAGCTGCCACCTGCCTGGTTCCCTTTGCCTCCTCCTCCTCCTGCCAGGGAGGAAGGGAGGCGGGCAGTCCCGCACACACTAGCTGCCCCTGCCCAGTTTCTCTTCCTCCTCCTCCCCCTGCTGCCCCCCCAGCCTCTTCCTCACCCTCCTCTTTTTGGGGGGTCATCTTGTACGGCCAGTCGTGTTATACGCCAGCATATACGGAATATTAATTTTTGCTCCAAAATGCATTAGGGCTTATTTTCAGGGGATGTTTTTTTTCATGTATAACTATCTACATTTATTCAAATACAGTCATGTCATCTTCTTCTGGTTGCTGCACAATGTTGGAGGGCAGGGTTTCACTTAAGTGGGGCTTATTTTGGGGGTAGGGCTTATAGTACGAGCATCCTGAAAAATCCTATTAGGGCTTATTTTCAGGTTAGGTCTTATTTTCAGGGAAAAAGAGTATTAAACTTTTGTTTCTGCCAATGTACTCTGACAGCAGAATATATTCAACTGACCTGAAAATCTATGCAACATTACACTTGATCTTAGCCAAGAGGCAAATCAGAGTTAAACTACAGTATCTCAAACATATAAAAGCAACAATTTTTTTGTGGAAATATTTCGTTAGTAGAGATACTCTTTCTGGCTAAGACTGGGACTGTTTGGAGGAAGGGTTAAAGGCTTATCATCCTGGACTTCATCCTTTCTACCTCATTTGGGTAACATAACATTGTTTTTGATACTCATCCCTAGTAAGTGACATTTCATGATGTTGTGTTTTGTAATATTACCCATTGGATGTAGTTGATTATTTGTTTTTAACTTCTCTAGTTTAATATTTCTTCAGACTAAATTTAAGATTATGTTTTGAATTGATACTTAGGATATCTGATCCCAACCCATTTTTACATTGGCCTTGATTTGCAGGATTTAGCCCTTTGTTCTACTTGCCTTATCATTAAAGCTCAACATTATTACCTGGTACAAATTTTGATTTTGACAGCCTCCAAGGCTCCCTTGAGCTGCTTCTGATCTAGAAGGTATAACAAAAGATTTTTTTTAAAAAAATCAGTGTTGTTGTACAAATTCCGTGCCGTACAGCTGTGGCTACAATGGGGAAATGCAGGAGATGATTTTGGTGAGCTGATTTCCATTTATTTTCCACTGATCACACCACAGAAAGAGAAATGTGAAATCAGCCAGCAAGTTTAATGTATGATCCACAACCTCCATGTATGTGTGTGTGTGTGTGTGTGTGTGTGTTGTGTGTGTGTGTGTTGTGTGTGTGTGTGTATGTGTTGTGTGTGTGTGTGTGTATGTGTGTGTGTGTATGTATGTATGTATGTATGTATGTATGTATGTATGTATGTATGTATGTATGTATGTATGTATGTATGTATGTATGTATGTATGTATGGGCTATTTTTCTCTCCAAAGAGATCCAGAATGGCATACAATACAAAAACATATAACAGTAAAATATTCCATATAAATCAGTGGTTCCCAGATTTGGCTCCCAAGATTTCCTTGGACTAAAACTCCCAGAAGCCTTCACCACTAGCTATGCTGGCCAGGATTCCTGGGAGTTGTGCTTTAAATTATAAAATACAATAAAACCTAGCAACAACATAAACATTGACCTATAAAAAGGTTTTTATTTCCACCAAATAAGTGGTAGAATAGCAGATCCTAGCCTCCAAAAGTCAGGTACCACTACTCCACCTTATATCCAATTCTGAATCCTTCCAGTCATGTCATACTTTACAGCAGAGGTCCCCAACCCCCAGTTTGCGGCCCGATGCAAGTCCATAGCCTGAGCTGGACCGGGCTGCAGAGACAGAACTCCCCTCCCCAGGCATGCACTCCCCCCTGTACAGCTCCTTTGTGCATGCGCACACACCAGTGCCCACACAACCACTCCCCCACCCTTTTGCACATACACACGAGCGCTGCACTGTCTGCACATGTACATGAGTGCTGCACCGTATGCATAAGCAAATGTGCACACGCCCAAACGAGCATCCTCCCGCTCCTTTGAGCATGCGTGCAAGAGCACATGTGCTCCTTCACACATGTGCACGAGCACGAGAGGGTGCCACACTTTCCCCAGCCGATCCACGGGGTTAAAAAGATTGGGGGCCCTGCTTTACAGGAACTTAGGAAGAGAATTCCAGGGCATGCGAGTAACAACACAAAAGGATATTTTTTTGGATACACTCAAGCCGACTGCTTTGATGGTTGGCACCTTTTAAAGGGCAGTTCCAGTTGACCTTAGTTGGTGCAAGGCCTCATATGGGTAGAGTACGTGGTCCGGTAAGTATGTGAGTTCCAAGCCATGTAGCACTTTAAAAGTAATAACCAACACCTTGAAAACTACTGTTAACTAATGCAGCTGGCCCAAAATAGGAATGATCATAAGGGAAGCACCTATTGATAGCCTAGCTACTGTGTGTTGCACCACTTTTAACTTCTGAGTTGTCTTCAAAGGTAGCCCCACATAAAGTGAATTACAGTAGTCTAATCTTGAGGTTAAAGTTTCATTGATCAGCATGGCCACATCAGCCTTCTTCAAGTAAAGAGAAACTTTCTGAACAGGAGCAAGATGATAAACTGGTGACCCAGCCACATTTTCCACTTATTTCTCCAGGAGGAACAGTGGGTCTGATGAGATACCCAAATTCCTTACTTGGTTCACAATGGGTAGTGGTGGTGGTGGTTTTCCATCAAACATTAGAGAAGTGACAGCTAGATTTGTCAGTTGCCAAATGACCAGCATCACTTTCTTCTTGTCTGGATTCAGCTTCAGTAGGCATTTGACCATAGCCTCCAGACAATGACTAAGCACTGTCACAACTACCTCTGGTTGTTTAGTTAATCCAAGACATAGCTGGGTGATATCAGCATATCAAAAGCGCCCATCTCCAAAGCCATGAATGATCGATGGCAATAGTCTCATGTGTGTTGAAGAGCATTTCTGTGCAACCTTATAATGGGAAAGCGGCCATGCCAATCAGAATTGTCTAAGCTAGTGGTGAGAAACATTTCTCAATCTAAAGGCTGAAATCTAATTTGGAAAGGGTCTCAGGCTGCATTTGCAGACTGAGTAGAGCTGTGAGGGCAAATTATTGGGGACAGATTTAATTTTTACTAATACAGAAACTTCTCACCAATCATACAAAGCATGGCTCAGTTCTAGTCATGTCTGCTCAGGAAAAAAAAAACCCAGCAGAAGCATGCCGGGGGGGAGGCACAGGGGTGGTTGTCCTGGGCACCAAATTCTCAGGGCGCATCTTATACGTGTATCTCATCCACATCAGAAATTTAAAGGCACTGTGACCAATCATTAGGACTTGTGCTGCAGTAACATAAAAGAATAACATCTAGGTTTTTTGTCAGAACCTAGAAAGTTGTTGCTCAGACTTACCTAACTGAAGAGGTTCAATACTGACGTCAAGACTGAATTTCTTGCACTGTAGTGCATTTTCTTGCATCCTTGCATTGTACACTGTTGCAATAACCATTGTTGCTTTTCCTTGGCCTGATGCTTGCACAGTGAAATTTTGATTGCCCTTAATCTGAAAAGAGTGAGCATGCCCTTTGCTTGACTGTTCTTTTTTGTTTTGTTTTGTTATTGCTCGTTTTATTCAGTTATTACTACTGTTCTATTACTATATAGCCACATTACTATGTGGTCATTTAGCAATGGGCCAAAAATGGTCTCCTTTACTTTTGGGAGGAGACAGCCCTCCTTCAGCAAGGTGTTCACAATATTTATGGCCCAGTCAACCATAATCTTGTTGGTGGCTTGTATTAACCATGCAGGACAAGGGTTGAACAGAGAGGAGGTGGGTTGGCATCTAGTGTGGGCCCTGGATACCTACGATGATGACATTGGGTCAAAGTGAAGCATAGGCAGAGGGAGAGGGTGCAGCATAAATCCCTACCCAATCAACTAAACTGCTAGTGGAAGTAAGATCAGACTGAATTGTCTCCATTTTAGATTTTTAAGGTAAAGGTAAAGGTTCCCCTTGACAATTTTTGTCCAGTCGTGTTCGACTTTAGGGGGCGGTGCTCATCCCCGTTTCCAAGCCATAGAGCCAGCATTTTGTCCGAAGACAATATTCCGTGGTCACATGGCCAATGCGACTTAGACACAAAACACTGTTACCTTCCCACCAAGGTGGTCCCTATTTATCTACTTGCATTTGCATGCTTTCGAACCGCTAGGTTGGCGGGAGCTGGAACAAGCAACGGGAGCTCACTCCGTCACGTGGATTCGATCTTACGGCTGCTCGGTCTTCTGACCCTGCAGCACAGGCTTCTGCGGTCATTGATAAATTCACCAGGGTGAGGCCTGTGCTAATCAGGATTTATGAGGTTGCAGACCACCTGGAAAAGTTCCACTTTTTGGTTCCCAGCATCACCAATGGTGTTAATACTGAAAACTTTTTTTTTTTTGCCAATCATAAAGCATTGGTGTATTTCCTGATAGGGGTCTTAACTGAGGGCCGATTTTGTTTTGACTGATCCTTCCTCCATGTGCTCTCAAGCCATCTTCATAGCTTGAAGCTCCTTGGTAAACTAGGGAGTAGGATAACCTTTTAAGGGAAAATGACGTATGGATTGTGTCAGTTGTCTGGATTGTTGCTGCATAACACCTATTGACCTGGACTTTGACAGGGTCACCATCCAGGTTGGCCAGATATTCTCCCAAGGCCTCCCAAAACCCATCAGGGTGGGGGAGCCTCCAAGAACAGACTATTTTAACCGATCCATTCTCCCTATGGATTTGCAGATCTGTGGCACAGAAAAGAGCAGCAGCTATAATATGACAACAGCCTGATTAAGGTGTCTATTTCCTCCTCAGACTACTTTTTTTTTTCATGTGAAGAGACCCATGACTAAGAGAGAGGGGCAAGCCTGCTCCTTTCCCTCATTCATTCCAGTTTCCTCTGTCCCTGAACACCTGAATAGGGCTACTAAGTGTTTACACAACATATAGCAGTTTAGCCTTTCACATGTTTCTGATTGTTGGTTTCACTGAGCCTTGTGTCATGTTTTACCCATCTTCAGTCCTTGCAGTTAAGGGGTTGGTTATATATAGAAACATAGAATAACTGGTCTTTTCCAGAATGGAAAAAATAATATATATTTTTAATTGCTCAAAAAAAAAAGTTGTACCTGTGCTCTTCGGGACAGGAGAGCAGAATCATGGTTAATCCAGTAACGAGTTGGTTCCTCGTGCTCTGGCAATTGGATAGAAACATCCAAGTT